CCCTCCCATTCCCTCCTCTCTTTTGAGCCAAATAGAGTTTACGCAATGGGGGCAGCAGTCTCGTCGCCAATCAAACGGCACGACCCTTCAAAGAAACTTTAGCTACCCAGTCAGCAGTTGAATTTGCCTCTCACAAAATCCAATTTCATTCCTTAGCAGGTTCCTTGAAAATTTTCAAGCATGACAGAGTTCCTCCAACCTATGTCATTATCATGTTAGCAACAAGTTCCGTCTAATTTATAATTAAAAAAATATTAAACAATAAATCCCAATATAATTAATGATATAAAAGCCAAGGATGCGATAATAGACTTTAAGAAAAGGGGTAAAGCCTAGTCTTCTACCCTTGGGAACGATGATTATGGTCCTACCTAGCAATAATATACCACCTCCAATCCTATTTATAAGACTTCATTTATAAATTACAAATAAGATTACAAACGAAATCTTATAAATAGGACAAGAGGTAGTACTCTTAAATTATTAGACTTGCTAATCACAAACTAATCAAAGGCGTCAAACCCCAAAACAATACATAACTTTTTTGACCCGCACAAAAACTGAATCAAAAGGATATTAACTTAAACTAATGCAAATTAATGTTAATTAATAAATAAAATAAATTAATATTAACAAAATAGTTATAATTAATATTAAGATAATTGATATGTTAACATAATAGATGATTATACTATAATACAAAAATAACAAAATAAAACAGGGAAAATTGATTAAAAAAAATTTCGTGTTTAAAATTTTTATTGGTTTAAAGGATATTATATGCTTTCGTGAACAGAAAGTACTTGTACTTTGCAAATTTTCACACACTCACATAGTCGAATTCACGTCCTCTTATTTTTATTCCTAAATGTATAATCTTATTATTTTCATATTTATTATTCTTTTCAAAACATCTTAAAATTTTATCTGCATTGATGTAGATATAAAGGTTATCTACCTAATATTAATGCATATAAATTTATATTTATTAAATATTATTAGGGTATTATGATAAAAGCGTTAAAAAATAATAATAGTTACAGAATAATAAGACTTAATTGTAGATGAAGGTTATAATATTCATCAGGGTTAATTAATCCGCAAGTCCTTATAGTTTCAACGAATTTTGAATCAGGTCCCTATAGTTTTTTTTCTTTTTATCAGGTCCTTATACTTTTATCTTTTTTTAATTAGGTCATTGTATTTATTTTTCTTTTAATCAAGTCCTTATAATTTCACTAAATTTTTAATCAGGTCCATGTAGTTTTAATTTTTGTTTATTAATTAAATATAAACTTAATTAAATAGATTAATACTGAAAAATAAAATATTAATAATTAAATTAAATTAATAATTATGTAATAAAAAAGTAATAGAATTAATTAATTCAAGAATATTTTTTAGAACAATTAATTTTTTTTGCTGAAAAAATTAAAATCATTATAATAATTCAATATCTTTAGAATATTATTGTTTATAAACTAATATTAAATAATATATACTATTTTATGTTTATATAATAGTACTATTAGAATTTATAAAATAAAGAATAAAAAATTTAGGGACTTAATTAAAAATAAGGTGAACTTATAAGGACTTGATAAAAAGAAAAATAAATACAAGGACCTAATTAAAAACATGTGAAAGTATAAGAACTTGATAAAAAGAAAAAAAACTATGAGAACCTGATTCAAAATTAGTTGAAACTATAAGGAGTTGTGGATTAATTATCCCTATTCATTAAATATTAGTATTAGAATGATATGATAAAGGTATTAGAAAATCGTCAGAAGCTATGTAAGGGATTTCAAACAGGGTTAAAATGTATCCAATACCACAAATTATTTTGTGAGGTACATTCAGCATCTTATTGTGGTGTGTCTATCATCTAATCTTAAAATATATTTTTATGTGTATCTAGTACTTTAAAATATTTTTGGTATAATATTGCTCTTAAAGTATTAATTTTTTTCAAAAACGGTTGCGCTTTTAAAGTATCATTTCATGAACAATTTTAATCTTATCATTAACTCCTCAAAAGGCCCATTAAATGAATGCAGATTAAATGCCATAAAATATTTTTCAGTATTTTTTACGGTGTTGAAGGCACCTGAAAAAAATATTTTAGTGTACTAGATGCACCATAAAATATTTTAAGATATTGGAGGCACCTTAATGCTTTTTTTTTTTTTTGGCCTGAACACCTTAACGCTTCAAAGTATAGAATTGCAAGAAATAAACTGTGAAGCATGGAGTTACGGGACTCGCAGGTCTCCAAGATGCCGTCTACTTTTATAGATTAATATAGATAGGCATCAAGAAACACGGAAGCAATAATAAAAACATTTATATAGTCCGACACTCAATAAACTTTGCAAGAAAAATAATAAACGCAAAAAACAAAATACACATTAAAAGTTGCCCTGTAACATTCTGTAACAGTGTACAACGGTGTTTATGAAACCCATTTACACTGTTTGAGCAGTTTCCTTACATTTCGATTAATCGTTTCAGTTCTGTATGGTGCTTTTAGCATACGTGATTGAGATAAATAAATAAAGTTGTAAATTTGAAAAACATAAATTCAGAGTGAAAAATATGATTATTAAACTAAAATATCTCGTCATCAAATTCGTAATAGAAATTTGCCCGAATCGTTACTCTTTCTTCATTCTCACGTTTCATAGTTAGATCATTTAAGCAATATTTTTGTATAAAAAATCATGCTGAAGAATTACGTATAGTAAATATTGACAATATATATTTCCTTTTTTTTCATTACAAAAAAAAATTTAGATGAGTTGAGTTCCAAGAATTTACCATGGTCAAGGAAGGCTCCAAGCTCAAAAAACACGTACAAAAATATTTACAGATTACCCACTAACAAAATTTTCATATCGGTAACAGGATTTGAACTCACGACTTTATGAGTTATCAAGTGACTATTCAATATATATTTCTTTTAATGTCATATATACTTATTTGCCTTCTTATACTCGTCTATTTCAAGCCGTGTTTTTGTTGGTTTTTATTAGTTTAAAATATCTGCAGTTTCGCATGTGAATGCAAACTGTACTGTCAAACATCTAATTAATAATATACTCTGAATCAAAATTACAACATTAATGTGTGTCGCTTTCTTTATAAATATGGGTTACGTTTGTATAATTTTATTCTGAACCCCTAAGGAAGGTGGAAATTTTGAAGGTCAAAAAAAGAACGCGGAAAATTGGATTTGGAGGGTGCAATAAAACATACCTTAAAATAATAGATTTTAAGGAAAACAGATTTCTGGGGAAAAACATTTCTTTAGTAAAATAGATTTTATTAAAAAAAAAGTGATTATTGGAAGTTGTTCTCCCTAGCTTATCAAAAGAGTGTTTGAATAGCTTATACCCAAGCATGCTTTTAGTTACTGGAAATATTGATTGGGAAAAGTTTTCAAGTGTTTGTTTTTTTTTTTTTTGAGAATTATAATTAGGTCCCCAAAAAAATCTAATTTTTTAAAAATCTACTGACAAGTAAAGAGTAAACAATGACAAGTTTTAGAATAGGAACGGCAACAGATTCAAGCAAGTCACTTGTCATTGAAACTTTCTAGTAATTAAATTTTTTCATTGGGACCTCTTAATAATTTTCCCTTTTGTTTTTTGTTTTTTCAAAACCATGGTTTTTCTCTCCAGACCATGATTTTGGGAGCATCCAAACGCACAATGCATGTAGCGCTCAATCTTTACTATAAGTCACTTATAATTTATTTTTATATATCAAAAAATGCATTGAAATGATAAAATTTTTTTTTAATTTACTTTACTAAAGTGTTTTTTCTTTTGCTGCATTTGCAAATTTTAACCTCTTTTTTTCTTTTTCTTTCTTTTCAACAAGAATTAAATAAGAGTAAATTTATAAAATAATCATTAAATATCATACAAGAAACTTATATTCAAGACTAAAATTTTTTTACACAAATAACTTATAATAAGGATCGGAGTGGTATGTGAACAAAACAAACCTATCTACTACTATTATTATGTCTGTCAGGAAGACTAAGGCGGTGTTTGAAACACTTCAAAAGTGCTTTTAAAAAATATTTTTTTATACAAATCGAGATAAATTACCTCACATATTTATTTCGTATATCGTAAAATTACTTTGAAAATCATTATTTGGTTTCGACCCAAATAATCCCTATATTAACATGTTAATTTGGGCTTTACAACAAAAGTGGGCCTAATGGATGTGTTTCTAAATTCAAACTAAGGTCATTATGGGCTCAAATTAATTGGGCTCCCAGATCTCTCATGGGTTGATTGCTCCTAATCTTGTTTTTCCTAAACAATCCATAAATTGTACCTTTTCGATTTTAATTTTGTATGGTCTCCTTTCAATTAAGTCTCTTTTATATATTCTTGCAAAAAAAAAAAAACTATTAACACTAACTATGTGAGGCAAATGTTAAGTGTTATTTTCCATCATTCTTTGCTTCGTCGCACATCATGAAACCATATATGGATGATGTTTAACAATTAACACGGACTATGTGAGAGAGGTACAGTGCACATTTGCTCTATAACTTGTGAGAATTCCTTTTTCTTAGTTTTTCTGGTCATACTTCTGGACTTATCTTTTTTACTGCAAAAGTAATTATTGGAGTTATTCTGTTTATAATAGGCTCAAGAAAGCAAAACTAACCTGAACTAAAATCAACAATGATATATATATCTTTTTCACAAACAATAAGCACTCATGTATTCTATTTCAGGAGAGTCTAAACTCTGTTTTTTTTTGTTGTTTTCAAAACGTCTCTTATTAATTATAGATATCTCACCACCATTTATATTATCGTGCAGTTACAACAACAACCTGCAGTAGTTTAGCAGCAAAGGAGTCATTAAACTGAGAGAATGTCTTCCATCATTGTTTCCATTTTTTGCATCCACATACATGTGCGCGCGCGCACACACATACACATATCAATGCTCCACAGAAACTTGCCAAATTCATGAAGCCAACTCAAGTTGGAAAGCGTCTTCGACCTCACACAGTTCATACCCCGTTGGTGGTCTGTTTATGCGAATCTTCTCTGAGCACTTCCAGGCCAAGTCATGTACTTTGTTCATGTACTTTTCATCCTTCATTCCATTTTTGATGGCACAATCCACAGAAACTCGCTGAATCGGTGAAGCCAACTCAATGTGGAGAGCATCTTGAAGCTCACACAGCACATACCCTATTGGTTGTCTATTTATGCATCTCTCCTCCAAGCACTTCCAAGCCAATTCACATACCTTGTTTAGAGAATCTAAGTTCACTTTCCCGTTCAAATATGGGTCTATAATCTCATGAAAGGTGCCCTTTTCTTGGCAGCTTGATGCCCATCTTGTCAGATTAAGATGCTCTGTTGGACGAGTGTTGTCCAAAGCAAGCTTGCCACAGATAACTTCCATCAGAACCATCCCAAATGAGAAAACTTCCGTAGCAGAGAGAGAAAATAAAGCTCCCACTTGAAGGAGAGAATCTTGTAAATCACGTGTTTATATATCGTTTTATTATTGTTGTTGTTCATTATCCTTAAGATAGAGTAAATAATATTTTCAAGAATTACGTATGGAATTTTTTTTTGGACCAAAAGAGAGAGTCCATTTTATTAATCACCAAAAAAATCAGAATACACATACTGATAGCCGAAGCCTATAAAGAAAAAACACTCAAAACAACCTAAGCATACAACCTACAAAACACACAGCTTACCAAACAGAAAAAATATAGCCACCAATCAAAAGGAAAAAAAAGCAAACTAGGATCATTAGAGCAAATTAGCCAACCCCACTCCTATCAGTTTCCAACACCAGATCTTCGATAGCATAATTTCTTCCATCAGAATTTAGCAAGCTTCTAGGCTAATTCTTTCTAGATTCAACATCTTCATTTAGAATCTGAAGTAAAGAAGGTGAGATTGGTGTTTTCACCCATCCTATAGGATACACCCCCTTGTTACAAGCCACAGCAATCGGATTTGCTGGTCTATGTCCTCTTCTCGAGACAAGAGAAATTGCCACTTCATTCAAATTCTTCAAGCACAAAAGAGCCTCCTGGAGATCCCATTGACCCCTCCAGTTAGCTCCTTCAACTGATCCTTTCTTATTGCACCAATAAACTTCAGAGCAATCCACCTCAATAACCACTTTATTCAACTCTAATTCTTGCATTAGGCAAATAGCTTTCTTAAAAGCTAAGATTTCAGTAATTACTGCAGTTTCAGCCTTCAATTTCTCACAAAATCCCACATGAAGCTACCTGAAGCATCTCTACAAATTAAACCAATTGCAGTCTCCCCAGAGTTGAAAGACCCATCACAATTGATTTTAATCACTCCTTCCTCAGGCAGTCTCTATGCACCACATCTATCTTCTTTCTTCTTTCCCCCATCTGAGCCTTGCCAGCTTGTTGTCTTCTAACATTCGCTTAGAGCTTTTCCTGCATAATCAATTACTCTTCTTGGATCAGGCTGAATAGACTCAAACACCAACCTATTTCTTTCTTTCGAAATTAGCCAGATTAACCAAGCAAAATAAGCTAGATGATAATCATTAAAACGATTCTTATCAGCTACCATATTAACCCACCAAAAATCAAACCTAATCAACTCTAGCTCATCTACTTTAATGGAAAAATTACTTCCAAACCAGACATACTTCACCCAAGGGCATAAAAACAATGCATGTTCTAATGTCTCAGGCTTTACCCCACAAACATGACACAAATCTGAATTACCACATTTTCTTCTAATTAGTCTTTCCCTCATTGGTATAGCTTGAACAAGACATCTCTAGAGAAAATGTGAAATTTTTGGAAGCACCTTAACATTCCACAGAGTATTCCAAACTTCTTTGGGCATAGAAAAAGAAGAGGTTGCTGCAGATTTTCTTTTCCTTTTCTTCTTATTTCTTATACAGTGATAACCCTTCTTTACTACATATTTTCCATCCCTTGTGCCTAACCATACCACTGCATCATTTCTTCCAGAGTTGCAACAAAACATTTGTTCAATTTTCCTGATCACATCATCTGGCACCAAGCCCTCTAGCTTCTCTACAGCCCATCTTCTATTTTGAATTAACTCAGCAACCTTCCAATTCTTCATGTCCTTAGGAATTTCAACAATCTGATCCAAGCTGCCATCAAAACCTTTGATCCATTTATCTATCCATAGCCTCACATCAAGTCCATTTCCTATTGTCCAAAACAAATCTTCCATCAATGCATTCCTTCCTTCCAGAATACTAGTCCACAACCAAGAAGCTCTGCCACCTTTCTTTGCCTCAAGAAAGTTAGAATTGGGGAAGTAAATTTTACCCATAACTCATTTGGGCAATTCAAAATTCTCCATGCAGTTTTAGCCAGTAATGCCTCATTAATTGCTTCAAACTCTCTAAACCCCATCCCTCCTTCCTTCTTAGCATCATTAAGCTTATTCCAAGCTTTCCAATGGATCTTCCTACCCTCTTCTCCACCATTCCACCAGAAAGTTGCCATCATACTATCCAAATCCTTACAGATTTTCTCAGGGAACTTGAAGCAGTACATTAGGTACAAAGGTACTACGCTTATGACATATTTAATCATGATCTCCCTTCCAGCTGGAGTGAGCAATTTACCACACCAACTCTTGATCTTTCTACCCATTTTCTCTTTGATATAGGCTAAGGCTTGACATTTAGTTTTCCCCTAAATATTAGGGATCCCTAAATATCTACGTGGTTCTTCTATGTCTTTTATCCCAAGAACTGAACAAACTTTCTCACGCAACTCAGGTGGGGTATATTTGGAAAAAAATAATCCTAGATTTCAACAAATTTGCTTCTTGCCTAGATGCTATGCAGTAATCTTTCAACAGGTCTACCGGGATTCTACAATTATTCTCCTTAGCATACATAAAAAACAAAATGTTATCAGCAAAGAAGGTATGAGTAAGCATTAGGGTTGTACTGATGATCTTAATACCCTTCAGAATGCAGCTATGAGTAAGCATTGGGGTTGTACTGATGATCTTAATACCCTTCAGAATGCCTCTTTCTACATTCTTATTAATCATGCTTGATAGGGCTTCTACCACCAAAATAAAGATATAAGGTGATAAAGGATCACCTTGTCTCAATCCTCTTTCAAGAATGACTTCCCCAACCTTTCTTCTAGACAAACAAATATTCAATTTAATCATTGAGATGCAATTCATCACCAGTTTAACCCACTTTTCATAAAAACCAAGTTTAGTTAAGAGAGCCCTCACAAAATCCTGTTCAACTCTATCATAAGCCTTGCTCATATCCATTTTCATAGCAAATTCACTTCTCACACCTTTCTTCCTTCTTCTTAAGTAATGAAAATCTCTTGAGCAACAATTATATTGTTATGGATTAAACGACCAGCTACAAAAGCACCTTGATTTTTTGAGACACAATTATCTAACCAAGGTTTTAATCTATTAGCCAATACTTCAGAAACCACTTTATAAGCAAAATTACAAAGTCCAATAGGTCTGTATTGACTTACCTCTTCTGATCTATCCACTTTTGGAATCAGAGCGATATTTGTTTCGTTGAGCTCCCCAATTTCGCAATTCTCTGCAAGAAAGCCTTTCACCATCTTCCAAATCTCTTCTTGCACTATATCCCAAGAGGATTGATAAAACCTTCCATTATACCCATCTGGTCCAGGAGCTTTACTTCCTCCTAACTGAAAAAAGGCATTCGTCACCTTAGTTTTGCTTACTGGAACTAAGAGAAGGTTATTGATTTCTTGTGTCACACAGCAATCAATATAATGCAGCACATTATCAAAATTTCTACTCCTTACAGATTTAAAGAGTTCTTTGTAAAACATTACAAAGCTTTCAGCTATTTCTTCTTCCTTCTCAAGCCAATTTCCATCCACTCCCTTTACTCTCAAAATAGCATTTCTTTGCCTTCGCTGCACTGTGGACAGATGAAAAAAATCTGGAATTTCTATCTCCAACTTTCAACTAATTTATTCTAGATCTTTGCTTTCAATACACTTCCTCCAGATGCCACATCTTTTCCAGCTCCACTTCTATATTTTCTATTTCCTTAATGATAGATTCAGTAAACTCGCTTTCATAGCAATCAGCAAGTTTAGTTAAAAGAGAATCAATAACTTTCTTATTATTTGGGAAGACTTTTCTGCTCTTACAATTATTTAGTCTTCTAACTACCTTTTTAACTTCATCAGCCTTTCTGCTTTTGCCATTGTTCCATCTCATTTTCATCACATCTTTGTACTCAGGGTACTCAATCCACATCTCTTCAAACTTGAAACTTTTAGGAGTTTTTGTTCCTTCATGACTCAGTTCCACAAGGATCGGTGTATGATTTAAGCCAACAGGTTCTAAATGAAACACTCGTGCTTTTGGAAATTGTTCCCTCGTATCAACATTTCTGAGAGCTCTGTCTATTCTTTCTTTAATATTATCTTCTAAGCTCCTCTTGTTGCACCAAGTATACCTCAAACCTTTGAACCCCAAATCCATTAACTCACAATCATTAATAAACTTCTGAAAGTTAAGAATCTTCCTTACTAATCTCGGGTTACCACTAGATTTTTCCTCTTGTGCTGCCAAATCGTTGAAGTCACCAATACACAACCAAGGTCTTGTCACCCCCTTCACAATTTCTCCCATACTACTCCAGCACCTCCTTCTCTCCTTTTCCTTTGTAGGACCATAAACAAAAGATATCACTCTTGGGAGATCAAACTTTGCATCATCAACCTTATTGTGTATAATATTTTTAGAGCTGAGGATTACATCTATCTTCACATCTCCACACCAACACAGACATAGACCATTTCCCTTTCCTTCTAGCTCTACTACAAAGCCATTTTCCATCCCGCACTTTCTCCTTAATTTTTCCATAATAGATCTTTTTTGTTTGGTTTCCATTAGAAAAACAATCAGGGGTTTTTTATTACCAATAATTCTTTTCAGATTCTTCACTGTTAAAGGAACCCCCAACCCTTAACAGTTCCAGGAAATAACACTCATTGTGCTTGGGTGGCTGTTTTAGGCCAGCCACTAGTGCCCTCAGCTCTTTCCAAAATCTGTAGACCAGAGAATTGAGTAATATTACTACTTTCCATATTTTTTTCTCGCCAGACCCATATTGCCCCTCTTCTTCAATAATTTTTAGTCCACCACTAACCTTTCTCATTTGCTTCTTTGGGATTCTGCCTCCTCTCTTTACTACTTTCCTCTGAGAGGTTTTTTTAAACTTCATCAGCATTTACTTCATCAGAAAGGAATAACTTTCTTTGCTTAGCCTCATGCTTCTCCTCATCTTCATCAGTCAAAGATCTTTTTAGCCCTATTCTTTTCAGTCCAAGTGTCATTTCAGACATGGGAGAAACACTCCCATATAGCACAATTGCATGAGATAAGCCGTCACTCTTTTGTGGAGATACTGTTCCACCATTAACCTTTTCAGTCTTGTCAACTATGGTAGCTTCTTTTTCTTTCTTCTCCATTTCCTTACTCTGCACTTCATTATCTTCCTTCTTGTCTTTGGTTTGTACCACCTCTGTCTCCACACTTTCTTTAAATTCAGGTTTATTAGCTTGCTCCTTCTTGCCCTTATCCTCTAAAACTTTTCTAGTCAGATTTGCTTCATGTCCTAGGCCTTCTTCTTTTCCTTTCAACTCTAATCGCAAGTTCTTCTGTCAAGATTCAATCCTTCTACTTCCTCCCAGTGATCATCACATACTACAATCAAATCATCCATTCTTTTGGCTGCTTGAATTCCCAACCAATTACCATATTCAACAGGCCTAGGTTAAATCTCTTTTATGTATTCTTGGAAAAAAAACTATTAATACTAACTATGCGAGGCAAATGTCAAGTATTATTTTGCATCATTCTTTGCTTCGTCACACATCATGAAACCATATGGATGATGTTTAACAATTGACACGGATGATGTGAGAGAGATACAGTGCACATTTGCTCGATAACTTGTGAGAATTCCTTTTTCTTAGTTCTTCTAGTCATATTTTTGGACTAATCTTTTTCACTGCAAAAGTAACTATTGGAATTATTCACCAAAAAAAGAAGTAATTATTGGAGTTTAAAAAACCAACATGATCATATCTTCATTGGACCAAGGCGTATGGTGGTTGATGATGCTAATTTGTAGTTGAGTAAGTTGTAGCAATGATATATATCTTTTTCACAGACAATAATCACTCATATATTCTGCTTCAGGTGATTCTAAACTGTGTTTTTTTTATGGTTTTCAAAATGTTTCTTATTAATTATAGCTATCTCACCACTATTTATATAATCATGCAGTTACAACAATAACCTGTTGTGGTTTAGCAGCAAAGAAGTCATTCAACTGAGAGAACGTCTTCCATCCTTGGTTCCATTTTCTGCATCCACATATATGTGTGTGTGTGTATATATATCAATGCTCCCCAGAAACTTGCCAAATTGGTGGAGCCAACTCAAGGTGGAGAGCGTCTTCGACCTCACACAGTTCATATCCCGTTGGTGGTCCGTTTATGCAACTCTTCCCTGAGCACTTTCAAGCCAAGTCATGTACTTTGTTTATGTACTTTTCGTCTTTCATTCCATTTTCGATGGCACAATCCACAGAAACTTGCTGAATTGGTGAAGCCAACTCAATGTGGAGAGCATCTTCAAGGTCACACAGCACATAACCTATTGGTGGTCTATTTATGCGTCTCTCCTCCAAGCACTTCCAAGCCAATTCACATACTTTGTTTATAGAATCTAAGTTCACTTTCCAGTTCAAATATGGGTCTATAATCTCATGAAAGGTGCCCATTTCTTGGCAGATTGATGCCCATCTTGCCAGATTAAGATGCTCTGTTGGACGAGTGATGTCCAAAGCAGGCTTGCCACAGATAGCTTCCATCAGAACCATCCCACATGAGAAAACTTCCGTTACAGAGAGAGAAAATAAAGCTCCCACTCGAAGGAGAGAATCTTGTAAACCACACGTTTATATATATATTGTTTTATTATTTTTGTTGTTCATTATCCATAAGATAGAGTAAATAATATTTTCAAGAATTACGTATGGAATTGAAACACGCAAAATTGTAGGATGGCGATATATAATAAAAATATAACAGCTTAGTCAAAAAAGGACGGCTACATATAATGAACAGTGCGCATGTACGAAACTCCTCTTAAATGCTTCATTATTATTTTTTGTCACTGTGTATCATATCTAGAAGAAATCAATACCTATAATGGGATTTTTATATTATCAAACAATATGCATTTTGGACATTTTGGATGTATCCGCATCCTAACGGGCATGCGTAAATATGAAAAGATTAGTAAATAAAAATAAGATGTGGGATCCTTATTATGTGTCACTTACAGAGTTTTAGTCAACTCAACCCTAAAAATACTTCAATGACTAAATTAGCCTAATTCATGTCTGGTGGATTGACTAGTCCTTTGTTTTTTTTTGGCGGAAACATTGAATCTTGATCACCCAATTAAAAAAAAAAAGAATTGAAGGGAAAAGTAAATATGTGGTCCTTACACTTCGGGTTTAAATCCAAATAGATCCCTCTTGTACCTAGGAATATTTTTAAACCGCTCCCTAACCTACACTTCTTCACGCGGTTAGAGCCATTAGCTCCTACATTTTTAAAGTCGAAATTTAGTCCCTCTTCTGCATTGAATCTATGCCATTTGGTATTCTTTCTTGTCTTAAATATAGAAGCTAGTTAAAAAATTAGTTTTGGTTATCATAAATATAAAATTTTAATCCACTTTGTCTCCTGAAATTATATCAATATTTTATCCAAAATATTCCTATATACTAATAGCATATATGCTAAAGGTAAGTTTCTATAGGGGTAGTTTCTATTGCTAAAGAAAGAATCTTAGAGAATTCAATACTTATTTTTTAATAAATAATTAACTTAACTAATGTTTTTAATACTTATGAATTAGTTATTAAGTTTTTATATTTAGAACTAAAGGGAGTATAAAACAGGGGCAAATTATGTAGCACCATGGAGCGTTGATTTGGCTGCAAATTAAGCGGCTGCTACTAAAAAAAGGTGGTTTTACGTTAATCCACTCAACAACCTAATTAATCAGCATCTTATAAGATCCATAGTTCTAAGAGTAACGATACACGCCATTATATTTACTAGGGAATTAAAACATGTAGGCACTAACGATTCTAAGGGCAAATTTGAATTTTGAAGCATAAGGATATGTTTCAAAATTAATGAATTGAAAGTATAGGGGCCAAAATTTTAATTTTCGCAATATATGTAGGATCTGGAGTGTGAAAGCTTTCAACGAATTCCACTTCCGAGGAAGAAAAGAAGACAGCTCAATGCGTTTGGAATATATATAATTAATAATTAATTAATTGTCCTTACTCATTCCATGCTCGTCTTACGGGCGTTTGGGAGAAGCAAAACTATAATTTTAAAAGTGTTTTTATAATATATGAAATAAATATATAAAAAAATTTTATCTCGATTTACGAAAAAATACTTTCAAAAGTATTTTTAGGGTTATCCAAACACCCCCTTAGCCTAAGGGGCCATCAGTTTCTAATAACAAGTCTCACGCACGCATACACGTAAGTTTGTGTGTATTTCTGTATTTCAGTATATGTGCCTTCTTTTTTGTTTTTATACATAAGTATCCTCTTACTTGAGACAATACAATTTAAAGCATTATTTGGTATTGAATGTGAGTATATCTCTCAATGGAAATTCAAATATTGGTTTGTCATATTATGAAAGATTAACTCTTTTCACTAAACTCAACCCTCATTAGTTACATATGCCTTTTTTGTATTTCTGTACATATATACATTATACATGTGCCTTTTTTGTATTTCTGTACATATACACATTATACTTGTGCGTCTCCGATCTCTATGTAAACCATATTTCTTGTGCCAACTAGCAAAGAAATTATTAAATGTTTTTTAAATTAAAATTTTGATTTGGAAGCTATTTTTAAATAAAATTAGTTGAAGAGTGGGAAGGGTTTTTATATTCATCCTCTCCATGTATACTTCGTCGTTCTCATGGATTGCTCAGTTCCTCCTCTTATCCTCTTAAATATTTTTTTAAATGTAAGAGTTATTTTTTAATTAAAGAGAGGGTATTAACAGTCAAAAATTACAAGCGGATTGAACCTCTGCAACCTCTTACTTAGAAGAAAACTTTAATGCCATTGGGTCACAAGACAAGTGATTTTTTCCATTAATTTCCCCCTAATTTCTCTCCTCATACAATTACTTCTTTCTCTTACCATTGCCCAATCCTTTCCAAATATCCTTTCTTCATACTTCGTTTCTTGTTTACATTCTCTTTCCATTTCCTCGCACCCGCCAATTCGTTCCCTCTCCAATTAATTAGTTCTTATCTTACAGAAAGTGTGCTCTCTTCTGCTTTTTCACAGTATAGATAATTAGTTTTTTTAAAGGTGTATATATTAAATAGAAGTAAATTTAGAAAATAGTTGTATTTTAACAAAAAGTTAATGTAATTTAAAAAAAAATTTTAATCTGTGTGAAACATGCTAAAAGAACTTATAAATAGATTGAGATGAGTATACATGCAAAAGCCACGTGGAAAATATACATGCGAAAGCCAGCTGGAAAATATATGGTTAGGAAAGAAAATCATTGAAATTTTATTAAAATAATAAAAGGTAAATGAAGTGGATGCCAACTAACTAGGATTCAATAAACAACTAACCCTATCACAAAGCCCGCCCTCAAACTTCAGAAACCATATGTTACCTAGCTACTGCACCCTGTTTCTATACACACATACATAAACGTCACACCAATCAATATAATCCATCGTATACACAATTACATTTGAAACTGGAACTATCTAATTTCTTCACCGACCATTACTTAGTATCTTCGCCTCCTTGCAAGTGGAGAGCAGCCTCTAAGCAGAACATGACGCATCCCATTGTTGGCCTGTTGATATTTTGCTCTTCCAAACACATCTTAGCCACTTCCCAAACTTCCTTCACAGATTCGTCTTTCGCCTTCCCTATCAGATCTTGGTCTATTATCTCTTCTAGTGACGACGACTCATCATTTTCTCCTTTACTTATCGTCCAGTTTGGCAGATGATGTAACGAGCTTAGAGTGCTCATCACTGAAAGTGGGTCCTGATTTGATCTCGTTCTGGAATTCAGCAATGCCTTTTTTGGATCGAGGATTTTGGTCGCAATCTTCGTACCATCTTTGAGGTGTCCCAGGACCACCTTCCCAAACCCACCAATGCCAATATGATTTTTCTCTTTGAAATTGTCGGTTGCTTCTTGAATGTCTTGGAACTTCAATATTCTAAGACTTCCACCGTCGGTTTAGAAAGTTCCGTTGGACTTGTCCGCTCTTATGGAACGACGACAGCAGTATAAAACACCCACGAGCGCCCCAATAATAAATGCTCTAGAAGACTGCTACTTTTGGAATTTTTAAATTCGACTTCTTAAATATGCCGTCAACTGAGGAAAGCCCATCCAAGCTTCACACGTCGTTGCTTATCTTCATAATCTCTATGCTGTTCAAAATAGCATTAAAGCTCTGCTGAAGGCCACTAGCTTCCACTGAAACACTCAGTTTATCTGAATCTTCTTTAGAAGTATTATTGGTGACATAGTCGATAACGTATGGAACACCAACATCATAGGTAAAGGCTGATAGATTCAGATTTTTCAACTCAACCTCGGAGTTTACGCACACATTGAGATACAAGCTGTTTCTGGACTCGCTAATTATATCGCGGAAATGCATCCTCAGAATGTATTTAAAATTTGGATCGACTGGGAAGACCCAAGTCAAATTGGACTTGCTTGAAATATATTTCAAGGCTTTTGCTGTGGCATAAACATCTGCGGGAAGGTGCTACCTCGCAAAACACGAAGCCGGTGGATGAAGACTTTGTGGAGAATGGGTTCACCGACACATTTGACGCTAAAGGGTTAGGCTGGAGATATTTATCGTCCTCTTCCCAAACTCTGAAAAGAGTGCCGTTTTGTGAAGGGACTAAGGAGTGGCCTCCCATGCATGTTCAAGCGGTACAAGGTTTCAAGAGCAGTATCTTTGAATGTTGGAAAAGATAAGGTATGATTAAAAGAGAATATCTCATGCGGGACAGAAACAACCTCAATGGCATTCACAAATTCAACATCGGAGTCTCTAGAGGGAATAAAGTGAGGGTTAAAGTGTCAGTATTGACATCAATCACGAACTCCCTGAACAAGTAAGCACTATTGCGTTTAGAAGTGTTAAAAGCTAAAGCGATCAAGGAGGATATAGCTTCCAGTGACAACACTGAACGAGACTGAAACTAATATTACTGAAAGAGGATGAAAGTAAAGTCGGATGAAATACCAGTCCTTGTGGTTGATGTTGAAGCCGTAAGAAGTTGAGATTGTTAAAGTTTTTATGCAGATTGATGAATGGGGGACAAGGTTCTAGAAGAATTAATGGTAGAATGTTCAGAATCAAATCTAACAGAGGGATGTTGAGAATCAGGAACAAAAGTTACGATGAAAATGAGCAATATTATTGGAAGAAAACCGCAAGCAATGAAGTGACTATCAAGAGGAATATGGGTGGATGTAGCACAAAAGGATGAATGAATTATGAACAGAAGAAGAAATATGGGAGAGTAGTGAAACTGGAGGTTCATCGTCTTCGATCAAAGGTTGCCATTTCTCGAACATACCATCTTGTTAATTTATAATGGAAGAGACTCTTCAATGGCATGCGAGTCTGGGTTAATTAGCTGCATACCTCCTTTCAAAAATATTTAATTTTTAATTTTTTATGATTTGCCTCTTCCTCTGAACAATATGTCACTATTGACATACCTCAACCATTGATCAACGAGTGGATAGCTCAAG